GCTCTCAGCCAGGTTTCAGTGAGGATCATGCTATCAATATTGCTATCAATTATAGTTGTCAAAATACCCTCACACTTGTTCCTGGACGATTGCACATTCCACATTCACCTATCTATGATGACATTGATAACGATGGTATATCTATCCTAGAAGAGTATATTTCCACTACCAGATCTGACTATCCAGAGGGGCATGTTCTCCTGTCAGGTGATTTTAATGCCAGGATGAAGCAGTTTCTAGATTATACACCTGATGACAACATAGACTGTGTGTATGATGCTGATGACTATCCTAGTGATGATTTTGATACTCCTAGATCTACTAAAAACTCTCAGACTCACAACAAGTATGGTATAAAACTGTCCGAGTTATGTCGAATCCATACATTAAATGGACGAATGCATCATGATAAGTCTGTCACTCATAATGGGTCAAGTGTTGTTGATTATATGTTAGCTAGCTCATCACTATTTCCCCATGTGACTGACTTCGGAATCGGAACTCTGGACCTTTCCTGTCATTTCCCTCTGTACTGCAGCCTCAATATTCCATCTACTCTGTTCCATGCTCAACCTACCATCTCTGTGCAACAGAGTGATACTCAACAGAATAAAGAAGACGGTAACTGGGTTAGATATGTGTTTTCCAAGGACTCCAACAATGTATTTGTGAATAATTTCACTAAATCATTCATGGATACCCTTGATACATTGAACGATCTCGTATATACATCAATGAAGCAGTAAATTTATTTACCAGTGTATTCCAGGAAGCAGCAGCGCATACCAGGACTGTGTATCACAACAGACATAACATGAGTTCTAGTGATAAATCTCAACCTCCATGGTGGGATGAAGAGTTGGAACAATTAAAACATGATAAATATTCTGCACCTAGAGCTCATAGAGATAATAATCAAGAACTGGATATATTTAGACAACTTCGTAATCTGTTCAAGAAGACATTAAGTATCAAGAGAGATAATTACATGTATACACAGAGACAGAAACTTGTTGAAGCCAGCAATGATCCTAAGCAGTTTGGAAATTACTCACACAGTATAAAATGTCTAGTAATATATCTGCCTCTATTTCTTGTCAACAGTGGCTCAATCACTTTTTATCCTTACTTTGTGTCAATGAAACAGATGTTCTAAATGATGTTGAGTCTCATTCCAATTGTGATATGCTATTGCTTAATGCAGCATTCACTCAACAAGAAGTTTTGTTTCATGTTATGAATATTTCTGCTAATAAGTCACCAGGACCTGATGGTGTGACTGGAGATTTTCTTAAAGCTTCTAGTAATTATATTGTACCCTTTCTTACTTCCATTTTAATGAAATATTTGACAGTGGCAATTTCCCTAAAAGCTGGAGTAAGAGTATAATATGTCCTTTATTTAAATCTGGCTGTAAAGATGACCCTAATAATTATAGAGTCTGACTCTGTTTGTAAAATATTTACTTCTATTTTGAATAAACGCCTTCAGAAATGGTGTGATATTAATGAAATTATTAGTGAGTCCCAAGCAGGCTTTAGAGCTAATTATTCTACAACTGATCATATATTTTCCCTCCAGGCTTTAATTCAGAAATATTCTTGTAAAAAAAAGGGTAGGTTTTACAGTCATTTTATCGATTTTTCCAAAGCCTTTGACACCATTAAGCATGATGTTGTACTTCAGTCCCTCTCTGAAGTTGGTATATGTGGTAAAATCTTTAATGTTGTAAAAACAATGTATCAGAATTTATCAGCTTGTGTTAGAACATCAAAAGGTTTGTCTAAATATTTTTCTTGCAATATTGGTACCCGTCAGGGATGTGTTTTAAGCCCTCAACTATTTATTATCTTCATGAACAAGTTATGTACTTTAATGGAATTGGAGGGTGGTTCAGGTGTAACTGTTTCATCAGATTTTAATAATGTATGTTCACTTATGTTTGCTGATGATGTCTCGGCACTGTCTGATACATGCAACCAATTACAGAAAAAGATTAATGTTCTTGAGAAATTTTGTAAACTCACTGGTATGTCAGTAAATCTTAAAAAGACTAAGATTCTTGTTTTTAGAAATTGTGGCCCTCTAAGAGATTATGAAAAATGGTATTACAATGGTAAACAAATTGAATGTGTATCCTTTTATAAATATTTAGGACTTGTATTTACACCAAAACTTGTATGGAGTAAAGCACAGACATGTCTTGTTTCTCAGGCCAATAAGGCATTATTTTCTGTAAATAACTTCCAAAGAAAAATGGGTGGTGTCAATTGTAAAGATTTGTTTAAAATATTTGATTGTATGATCTCACCTATATTATGTTATGGAGCTGAAGTTTGGGGCACCAGTTATTGTAAACTCATAGAGTCTGTACAAATTAAATTTTGTAAGTATTTCTTAAAAGTTGGTAAATCAACTTGTAATAATGTGGTACCTGGAGAATGTGGTAGACTCCCTTCACAAATTGTATATATGACTAAGGTTATCAAATATTGGTGTCATTTATTGTACTTACCCCAAACAGACTCCCAAAACACTGTTACAAAATGCTAAAATCATTAGATGATGTTGGACGTGTAACTTGGGTAACTAATGTTAAACATATTTTATTTACTTATGGTTTTGGCTATGCATGGGTCAGTCAGGATATTGGTAATGTCAAGTATTTTAAGTTTCTTTTTAAACAAAGACTGACCGATAATTTAAAGCAATCCTGGTATTCTTCCATTGAAAATTCACATAAAACTGTTTATTATTGTCAGTATAAGAATCTGTTAGATGTAGAAAAATACTTAAATTGTAATATTTATTTAAATTTGAGATCTGCCCTTTCAAAATTTAGATGCGGAAACTTTAATCTAGCAATAGAGACTGGGAGATATGAAAATATTGCTTCTAATGAAAGATTTTGTTTATTTGTAAATCCAAAGGTATTAATGTTCTTGAAGATGAGTGGCATATTTGGTATATTTGTGAATGTTTCTTTGATATTCGAGGGAAATATATTGGGAAATATTTAAGTAAGCCGCCGACGATAAACAACTTTATCCATATTATGCAATCTGCAAATGTCGATATGATTAAGAATGTTTCTTTATTCTTATATAATGTACAAATTAGAATGAAGAGCAGAACATTTTTATAAATCATTGTGTACCATTCATGTGATGTGTGATCACGCATTTGACTGTATTATGGGCCAGTAGCCTTTTACTGAATAAAACTGTCTGTCTGTCTGCTAGGGGCGGTAGGGTACCCTAGTGGTTATAGCGTCCGCTCGTCACGCCGAAGACCAGGGTTCGATTCCCCACATGGGTACAATATGTGAAACCCATTTCTAGTGTCCCCTGCCGTGATATTGCTGGAATATTGCTAAAAGCCATACTCGCTCACTTCATACTTATATGCTGAACACTCTCCGTGTACTATACAATCTCAATATGCTGTTTGAGTCCCCATTGTATAAGTATGTTTAGAACTTTAAGAATATATCCACTCAATGATTGCTTGAGCAATGAATAATAATTGTAACTAAATACAGTATTGTTTTCCACAACCGCAAGTGTGTCGTAAGATTTGTATCGGATGCTGACACGAATTATTGTCAGTCCTGCTTCTGTAAATCACACTGGCACTGAAACGTTCCAGTCATACCTCAGTGTATATAATATAACTGTATTTAGTAGAAAGGCCACAGGCCCATGTACAATGTATAATACAATGCAAAAGGAATGATGTGCACAATAAGTAGAACATATTTTTATATATTCACAATAAAAATGCGCTACGTCGCATAAAAGCTTCCTTAATATATTTTGCATACACATATGAATAATTCTTGTTTACATTTTGAAGAAGACGAATTAGAGAATTTCTATCTTTACAGTCAAAATTTAACATATATCTTGCTCTTAAATCATTATTTTGTGGGCAAATAAACATAAAATTAACCTCATCTTCTAAAATGTTCTTACAAAACGGACAAAATCTTAATTCTCTTGGGATAATATTTCTTCTACCTGTATTCTTCATAATACTTAAATCTTCTTAAATCTTTGTTATATAAAGTTGACCTAAGTGTAAGAGTGAGATCAACACCTATTACATAAGTACTAAAACATCTACATTTCAACGAGGAATAAATTCCCGAAACTAATTCCTTTTCGTAATGCCTGACAAAAACAATCGGCCGGTAATGTGTCATTGTCCCGCGACAGGACTGATCATTACTCACTCAATTGTACGTTGGCTTGTCTGACTAAGGTTTTATTATTTATGATCCTCTTATGTCGCCTTACTCACTTGTACGAACAGGGAAAACGAAATGTTACGCTGACCCATGTCATGTATTACGCATAGAAGCAGATCATGCATGTAGATTTAGTTTGAATGTATAACGCGGAAGTTCTGCCCATTCCCAGTTGTTTGAATCAGTCTCACAATGTCGGTGTGTCAGTGTGTGTGTATGTCTGGCTGGCTGTATACTCTTAATTCGTTACTGAGTCAAATCTGACAGAGACCTCCATAATAGTATCCTTTCCCTTGCAACGTTTAGTACCTTCATAGAAGTCATATTTCTCTTCTACTCACCTCTACTACACTGTGAATGCATACACCTCCATAATAAACGTAGACCTCCATCACAGAGCTTTGATAGTACAAACAAATACATAACAACAAAACTGTTCCATAGACTTTGCAATGTAATAGTTTAATGGTTAAAGTGTTCGCCTTTCACGCTATATATGAATTTGATGTAGAACCAATACAAAGTTTACTCTGAAACATATTCTTAGTGTTTACCGTCATGATGTTGTCAGTCTTGGCCTTAAGGTGGTGTACATTCCAACGGTATGCACATGCTGGGAAACAGCTGCGCATAAAAAAGTAGTCGTTGGGAATCCTTATTTCGTCGGTTGCCTTACGAACCTATTGCCATCCATTGCGTAACGCAATGTAGTGGAGATCAATATGCAACAAATAATATAGACATTAATTCCATGAAAGCTTTATTCTAATATACAGTTATTAAAGCAAGCAAACACACAATGTATAAAATCCTTACCAAAATGGAATTGAGTCTGAAGAACAATACAGGCCGTTATACCGTCTAACATTTGTAACAGACATCAAAAACCCTACAGCAAAATACTTCAAGATGATGTAGCCAGTATCATACGATAAAGCTAAGAGTATTTTAAGATTATATGCCAATATTTCGCACGTCTCCATGAAGTATATTATAACTTTGCAAGGACACACACAGAACACATCAGACAGCACATGAAATCTAAATACATCTATCTATGATCTTTTAGTTGGTTAACTAACAGTATTGGTTTGTGTTGCCATTACCTACGGTAACCAAAATGTAACCTGGCATAATGGAACGATACTGAATCTCATGTCAAAAACATACATATAAAAATGTTAGAAGTATAAATGGTTAAAAAGTCGGCAAATACTGTAAAGTTAATGCAATAAAGAGCACCTCTTGACGGATTGATGATATACCAGACTGGCATATGTAGGTACCAGATGGTATTGGCATAGCTGGGTACCAGGCAGGATTGACATAGCTGGATACCAGAGAGGACTGGTGGTCTGTGGAATACCAAGATGGAATCCGTAATCCACGAAAACTCATCACCCGATGGCATATCCCTCTTGACAAAAAAAATAACCTCTGTGGTTTTTTATTTAGGGTTGTTGTTTTTCAGTACAATACAATATGGCAGAATGATATGGAGCCCATACTGGAAAAAACTGAAATAGAATATTAGCATTCGTAGTGTGACAAGTTTAGTTTCATAAATAATTCGATATAACACAGAAAATACTATTTAAAGTGTATGAAAGTTTAGTTTCATATAATTATCCGATATCATACAGAAAATATGTTTTTTAAGTTTAGGAATAGTTTAGTTTCATATAATTATCAAATATAATGCAGAAAATATCATTTAAAGTATACAGTAAATAGTCCTGTGTACACGTATGCAAAATATCAATGTTAAAGTAGAAAAACCAACGGATTTGATTTACTTGAGTGAATTGTTGGTCGTGCAAATAGTGTGGTTATGATTATTAGCTGTTATTTCCAACCCGTCCTTTATCCACAACATATCCTACCATTTGATTTCAGTATTGAAAATAAGGCACCGATAGCAATCAGAGATGCTTAAATACATGATTTGAATATTCGTGCTCAGAGGTTGTGCGTTATATTACACGTGTAATGTACATACAGTTTCAACATTTGTTGACGTCACTACGTATTATTATCCATTCACAAAGCTACAAAACAAGGTTGTCAGACAACACATACTTCATGTTTTATGCTATCGGTAGGGCTGAACAAGTTTACCAGCGAACACCTGGTGTCATTAGTGATCCATTCATAGCATTTTCATTTTGTTATTTTTACTTACGATCGAAAATTTCATGGGAAAATTCGCTTGCGTTGACATTTTATATATACCCCTAGAGGACAGATTATAAAAAAATTAGACTTTGATTTTGCGGTGGTCGAAATATGAATGAGTGAGTGATATCAGTTTTACGCCGCTGTTAGAAATACTCCAGCAATATCACGGCGGGAACACCAGAAATGGGCTACACACATTGTACCCATGTGGGGAATCGAACCCCGGTCTTCGGCGTGACGAGCGAACGCTTTAACCACTAGGTTATAGCTACCTCGCCGCTCCGAAATATGAGTGTCCTACACTATGGTAAGCGCTTTAGTCCTCACAGTGAACATTTTCCCACCACAGTGCACGTACTGGCAGAACCTGACAGACATGGTAGCAGTTCCCCTTACTCATTGTGTAGGGGACATTGTGGGTGAATATTGTTTGAAGCCGTAACAGCAAGTCTGCAGCTATTATTTTGGTGTCAGACAATTATCAGTCTATAGTCGATATCATATCCGTAAGACGTATCTCTCTGAAGCGGGTGAAGTTGGAAAAGGTTGGATGAAAAACCACGCATGCATTCATGACCTGTGTATAAAATCCCAAAGGAGTATATTGCTTCCGAGTTTTCCGAGTTTTATAATGACATGGATTAGACAATACATCATTAAGATTTTTTTGTTTGATGTAAGACCAGGAAAGGTTATATTTATGCTGAAAACAATATTAACTGATGAAAATGAAACACATTTGTCCTCACCAATGAAACAAGAGTGACCCATGTTTGCTTATTTAGACATGTTTCAGGTACATTGCTTGAGGAAATTAATATATCATCAATCTCAATGCATTGTCATGTATTCATATTCTACACTAGCCTATTTCCTATATCCTCCCTATGCACATGCACTCTAAAGGTCGAACGTTGCAGGTCAGCTCCGTGACCAGTTGTGCATCAAATCAGCTCGGAACCAGTAAAACAGATTCCTTGACTGGTGTTTTAGGACTTCTTATGAGAAAACCTGAGCGCCATACATATCAAATAATCAAAAGTTCATTTAACTATTGTTTCCAGAAACAGACGGTTACAGTACAAATATGCTGAAAACTGACCAATAAAAGAGACAATTATCCAGTACAAGTAGATGTCCAACAGATTTTGCTGCATGTTCAAAAAATCATCAAACCTTTAAATATTACAATTTACGGTATACCTATTGCTGATGAAAGGCTTTCCGAACTATTCTGATATCCTGAGAAAGATTATTATCTAAGGCCACCTTTTGAAATATAATGCTAATCCAAACAGCAAGTATGACAAAAATAATTCTCGAAAATATTAAATTTACATTGTTTCGATACCAACATACCAAAATAACAGGCACGAACTTCACAACGAACAAAGAGCGTTATGGTACGGCTGTATCAATAGTGAGGGACAATACATTCTGTACTGGATATATAAAAGGATTAATGATATAGTACGATACAGTCTTATAGTCGAATACTGGGTCGCAAAGGCCAAAAATACAAACCTATTTAAGAATTTGAGCAATATTTTAAAACTGGATAGATAACTGCCGGTGTAACAACATCCGTGACAGTAGACTAGATGACACACAATAAACTAGTCACTATAATGAACATTACGATATTAATTATAGGAACTTGAACATGCACATGCATACACTTAAATGCCACACTTGTGCTTTCAGTTCTTCAAAACAATGCCTTTGACATAAACAAGAAGAAAATCATTAAACACGATCTGACATTATTCATACACGTACGCATTTAAGTAGTAGTGGAAGTTAATATTATAGGCAAACCGGATTCAGTTGATTTACAAATTTAGTAAAATGAAGACCATGACTGCCTAGTTATAAGGCTTGAATTTCAGTGTCTGGTATTTCGAAGTGAATTAATTCACTAAAATTATCTCCAGATCCACATGTCATCCCATTCACATTTGAAGCATCTGCTTAAACCTCAGCTGTATTATGTGATCTTGACATGCGACTAGGACGATGACCAGCTTGACCTCGTAGACCAGTTTACACCGGAACTGCTCGTGGATCTCCGATGTATCGGATGAGGCATATGGCGAAGATGATACCAACGAGCTGGAATGTAACAAAATGACGCATATGTAGAACAGCCTTCTCTTCACCCTTTTCATACCTCAATCCTAAAGCATTGTAATATAAGTGAACACCATTTCCACTGTCTCGAAAATGTTCTTTGTCCAGTTTATGCATCGTTCGCTATGCCATACGTTAATGTCATATACTCATGCCAATAATGGTTGTCATCCCCCTCCCACCCCAACCCCACACACCCCTCTACCCTACACACCCTCTCCAATAAAAAAGATTGAAGGGGGTGACAACCATTATTGGCATGAGTATACTTCCACAAACGGATCTGTTTTTATGAATGTCTCCGAAAGATTCCCCAGATACCAGGAGTAGGCACAACCAGTAGGGCAAACTATACAATTGTCTAGTACGTGACATACCCTGCCAGTAGGTGTGAAAATATGATGTGTCCTTGACCTCTACCTATTCTGTATACAACGTAAGAGAAGTTCATGACGATCAGAAATGAACACAATCAGTCAGTTTGAAGGACTATCTTATGTCAGTTTCAAAATATATAAATATATATACTAAATGTGACGGGGAAGGGTTTTATTTATATGTGACAGTGACAGGACAGGAAAGTTCTGTGTCACAGTGACAGGACAGGGGAAAGTTCTGTGTCACAGTGACAGGACGGGGAAAGTTCTGTGTCACAGTGACAGGACGGGGAAAGTTCTGTGTCACAGTGACAGGACAGGGAAAGTTCTGTGTCACAGTGACAGGACAGGGAAAGTTCTGTGTCACAGTGACAGGACAGGGAAAGTTCTGTGTCACAGTGACAGGACAGGGAAAGTTCTGTGTCACAGTGACAGGACGGGGAAAGTTCTGTGTCACAGTGACAGGACATGGGAAGCTCTACGTGACAGGAGAGGGAAAGTTCTGTGTCACAGTGGCAGGACAGGGAAAGTTCTGTGTCACAGTGACAGGACAGGGAAAGTTCTGTGTCACAGTGACAGGACAGGGAAAGTTCTGTGTCACAGTGACAGGTCAGGGAAAGTTCTGTGTCACAGTGACAGGACAGGGAAAGTTCTGTGTCACAGTGACAGGACAGGGAAAGCTCTGTGTCACAGTGACAGGACAGGGAAGTTCTGTCACAGTGACAGGACAGGGAAAGTTCTGTGTCACAGTGACAGGACAGGGAAAGTTCTGTGTCACAGTGACAGGTCAGGGAAAGTTCTGTGTCACAGTGACAGGACAGGGAAAGTTCTGTGTCACAGTGACAGGACGGGGAAATTTCTGTGTCACAGTGACAGGGCATGGAAAGCTCTACGTGACAGGAGAGGGAAAGTTCTATGTCACAGTGACAGGTCAGGGAAAGTTCTGTGTCACAGTGACAGGACAGGGAAAGCTCTACGTGACAGGAGAGGGAAAGTTCTATGTCACAGTGACAGGAGAGGGAAAGCTCTATGTGACAGTGACAGGGCAGAGAAAGTTCTAGGGAACAATGATGGGAGTAGGAATATGATAAGTGAAATTTACCTCGATTGCTATCAGTCCAAACACAACTCCGATGATGCCATAGAAGAATACCCGAAATATGCCGCTAATTGGACCACCTTGATCATTACAAGCCTGCAAAAGAAAACGAAAATATGTCCACGATACAAACCAGCAGTAGATATTGATATCGTTATAATGTCATAATGCCACTGAACAGCACCAGTCAGTAAAGGTGAATACGCACCCTGCCTATGTACGAATTCATCCGTGTTGGTCGAGTGGGACACGTGCGTTCAACCAGGTTGCTTTCGATTATTCTTGCACTAGGGTCCTGAAGTTTGCAGCAAGACAAGGGGACTTCGTAGCCTTTATTTTTCCTTTCCCACTCGGTGGCATGTTCTTTGAAATCAGTCCAATGATCACCACCACAACATTGATTCTGCAACATAAAGTACGTTGTTATATGAATACCATTCATCGCAAAGCAACAACTGTTAATGTCATTGGTGCTTCTACCAGGTCCCTATATACATGTTGCCCCACCAATGTTGCTATTGAAATGATAAGATACTCTGCTCTAACAGATCTGATTCTAAATTAGTGCAATCGTGTATCTCAGCTACCCTGGATGCTATTGGAAACGGCGACTTGTACCACTAAAGCTATCTGGCAGATACGAGTGCAGTGATATGTTTCTCAAACACTCTAGAATGGCATCGTTGTCGCATCGAATCGACATATATTTGTCACTTCTCATGAGTGAGTGGGTGAGTTTAGTTTTACGCCGCTTTTAGCAATATTCCAACAATATTCCAACAATATCCGGAGGGGGACAGCAGAAATGGGCTCACTTCTCATTAAAACAATGGAGCGTAAATACAAAATCTACAGAACGGTTATTAGCGACAGCATCCGGTTCACTAGTGATAGTTAGTGAGACCCTTCTACATAACTGATATCCGTCATATCTGTGGATTATCAAAGTGAAGATGACGATGAAAACTAGATAGGATCCCAAAACATTGTAAAACGACACAAACGTAAGTCAGTTACCCATACTAGACGAAGTTATCAATTAATTAAAATCAGGAATGTGGTTAGTCATAGTTAGAACTTTATCATGACTATGGAGGAACCAATCACGGATCTGGAATTCGATCTAAGCCACTTGTTTGCTATCAGTTATATCACATGGTTTTCTCAGCCACAGGTGTGTGGGAAATAGTATCTCTGATCGCTACAGGTTTGTTTGTCTGTTCAACTCGGCAGTATTCAAGCCATCTGACCGTGGTCTCTAAAACATCGAGTCTGGAGCCTGGAGCCTGGAGCCAGTAGTCTGGTGACTTGCAGCATGAGTATCGATCTACGCAATTTAGATCAACGAATTGTGAGTGAGTGAGTTTCAGTTTTACGCCGCTTTTAGCAATATTCCCGCAATATCACGACGGGGAACACCAGAAATGGGCATCACACATTGTACCCATGTGGCAAATCGAACCTGGGTCTTCCGCGTGACGAGCGAACGTTTCAACCACTAGGCTATCCCACCATCCCATCGAATTGTCCCAGACTGACCATTCAATCTCGTTAGTCGCCTCTCAGGACACGCATTCTTTCCTCGATATTCATGGGGGTCGCTAAATGTGGTACTCTAAATATGTATTTGATTTGATTATTATTTAGCTGATAGATATAAATTACGACAACCAGAAAGTGTAATGGTTCAAAAGTTGAATATCTTTATGCCTTACCGTTTGCAGCATATCGTCCAAGATGTCGTCATTGTCGCTGTCACTGCCGTACTGTCGGACACTGATACGGGTTGCTTCTTTACCAGTTTCCAAAATAGCGTCCAGCTATAAGAAACAGATATGAAGGGACTGTCCATTTGACCATTTGAGAAAATGATAACATGTAAAAAAAATACTGCAAATACATTATTATGCCTGAGGTGGTACAAAATAACATGAACGCTGGAAATGTTCAGAAATGTTGTGAAGGCGTCACCCCCAACTAAAATATCAAATGTATAATCACATGTGACAATTTTCACAGAAATGTCTTCATATATTTTGTTTCATTTTATTTTGTAAAGTCATCAATGGCGTTTGTGTTTCATCCAATTGGTAAATGTTTAACACGTACAGAAATTGCGGATTTCCTTCCACATTAAACTGAAAAGCCGTAAAATACATACAAAATGCAGTTCTGAAGAGGAATACCATGCTTACTCTATCACCCACTCATTCAACTTACCGATCCTTTGAACATGAATATCCTGATGGCAACGACCAACTCAGCAATGATGACAATGCCGATGAGAACCGCATACTGGAACATAGTAACGGTGGTAGTGTAAATATACTCTTAAAAAAGTAGGGTAGTTCAGTTTTAATTTACAGCTGAAACACTTGGGAGATATAGCGGAGTCAATCAATGTTGGTATGTTAGTAATATATGTTTAGCCTCACCACTTCCGTATGACCATAGTTGTTTGTACAGTAATCGCTCTTTAAAGATGATTGGTGTATGACGTGAAATTTGCAAGTGTACGATTTTCATTTTCAAACCAATAAAAAAAACTGGAGAGAAAAAAACACTAACTTCTGTGTGATGCAAGATGATTGTCAAAATGAATGGTCTACAGTGATTTGTCGACCTTCTTCAAAACCGTCAAAATCAAGAATGACACCCCATGCACGTGCATAAGGTTACTGCGTTGTGCACGTGCATCCCATGCGTTGTGCTTAGGGGTGGTGATAAAGAGAAATGGTTCATAAGATGTCTGTTTTTGAAAGGTTTGTTAACGCTTATACTTCCCATCCAATTTGAAGTTCCCCTACTATTTTGAAGAGTATAGAAGAGACAAAACCATTTTATGATCATACGAAATCCGATTCCATTGCACGATTGTGATTATAGAATCATCATATGAATCAATTAACGATGACACCAGTGTTTTGAGGTGGTTGCGTATCCTCCACACTGGTAACAACCGTCTCAAACACAAGGATAAGTAAGTTCTTTAAGTGGCATTTAGAAGCTGGCATTATAGATAGACAACTTCTTTATTGCACTAGATGCGACGTCTCGTCTCGTGAATTTCACAATCATACTTATTTGTAGCCTTAATATATTGTAATATACTCGCCGATTGTGTAATACATTTTTAACTCCCTCACTCATTAATGTCTCAGTTTCACTTACCGTTCCCAGCATGCATTTGATTTCTTTAATAGCCCCACAGCAGCCGAAGAAGCAGATGACCACGAGGAGGAGACCTGCGACGATGAACACAATCGATGCCAGTTTGATCAGTTGTACAGACCCTGCTGACGAATCGTTCTGGTCCAGGCTTGCTGCCAAGGCATCAGCTGTGAACATCACGTACCCGCCGACAGCCGCAAGCACCACCCCCGCCAACTGCAAGGAACATTACACTTTATCCACAGTGACAATCAGCAGGTGTACAGACTTATGGTTGATGTCCTTAAGTGGCATTTTAGACGATGTAATCCTCACGGATCCTCAAGATCTTCAGGATCAATCTGGCATCTTCAACGAATACTCACACATGAGGGGACATGGTTATAGAACTAAGAACCCGTGAATATACGGGTTAGAAGTGGTCTCCAGCAACCCATGCTTGTCATAAGAAGCGATTAACGGGATCGGGTGGTCAGGCTCGCTGACTTGGCTGACACATGTCATCGTATCTAAATTGTGTAGATCGATGCTCATGCTGTGGATCACTGGATTGTCTGGTCCAGACTGCCGCCATATAGCGGGAATATTGCGGCGTAAAACTTAACTCACTCACTCACTCGTTATAGAACTAAGATTATAAACATAAATCAATCTATGCAAGTGGTGACACAGTCATGACAAGGGATGCCTATTGGCACGACGTATGTAACAACCATGTGGATCTAGTAGTGTGTTCTTATGTAATGACCAAATCCTCGGCCCTGTCGTACTAACAGTACTCTTGACGTGATATTAGAAATGTGAGCATAGTATTCATGATTTACCACAACAAAACCATAACCGCTGTCTTTTGCTTCTTTCCTTTTAAGCAGTAACAAACAGTTAATGAGGTGGATGTAAGCTTCTAAGCTTATGGAAGGCACACTAGAGTCTGGAGACGCGACACCAATTGGCAAGATGGACCAACAATCGTGCCAGACCAACAAACGTAAAAGCAGAACGTTTACTCGAATGAATTACATATGCTTGACGCGAAAGATCGGCTTACTGGTACCAAGCAGCTGGAAGACTTGAGCAACAAGATGGTGCCTGTCTCGCCCGTGCAAGAGGGAAAAGAGGTCAATGCTACACAAGGACGCTCATAAAATACTAGTTTTACACTTCGCATTCTTGACCTCTGGTCAGGCAGAAAATATGTCCTCCGCACACGTGGGATTCACCTTCCAAGACCTGCAATCACCCTGTGCTTGCATCTATTCTGTGATCAAAATTTGGTTCAATCAATTAACACACATCTTAGGGTTCTTCAGGAGTAATGTTATCTTCAGAAGAAGAATGTTACTCGTCGAAGGATGTAATTGAATATCATTGTCCCAAGCTGAACATGTAGAAACAGTACATCCATAACTGTTTCCCATAAGAAAATAATGCATTACTGTTGTCACTCGTATCTATACTGCTTCATACTTACGAAGAAGAGGATGTTGAAGATGAAGAGCGTATACTTCATGCAGTTGGCACCGCATCCTGCCACCATCTTGAGTTATCTGCAAATGAAAAGGAAGTGCTTATATGAAAGTCCCACTGAAGCCATTTAAACTCGTCCAATGAAAACAAACATATCGACATCCTGTTGAACAGATAGGACGGCAGAATATTTTGATCGATTGAAACGTCCGTAAAAGGTTGATACGTTCTTATAAGCATTATGGAAAATATCATTTCTTGATACCCTTTCTAATCGTAGAAATTATATAACAACCACATGACATATATTTAATCATCTTTGTTGTCCAAATGACGTCATAACTATTCCACAATTGAATTAGTTAAAAAAACAACGAGTACAGCATATTTTGTGAATGCTGCATCAGGAACTAAACGATTTTATTGTACATTGTCAAATTTCGTGATCCACAAATGGCAAAGTACTAGTATCAAGCTTATCTTAAATTATAAACAGAGACGAAATCATATCAAAAGGTCTAACTTGCAGTATGAATGCTTCTTACACCGACATAGATGGGTTGTTGTAACTTCAAGCATGCGATCTAGCATATTTTTGTAATTTTGAATATTTTATTTAAATTTTGATTTATCATTATCTTCATCCAGGTCGCGACGAGTATTAAGAAATGCATCTTACATAGTTAACCAATTGTGATGAAACCTATTAATTAAAGTTGAGAAAACAGTTAACTCCAATCGTAAACATGGCGCAACATCGGCTTCGCATTGACAACCTTAACAGGGCCTCTACTAAAATTAAATCCGATTATGTTTGATGATAATGAGCATACAGAATCACCTCGCTATACAGCGAAATACCAGGGCGTTATAAGGGACGTTCTGAAAAGATGCGTTAGGGCGAAGTAGTTCTCGATTAACCATGGTCACGGCTGCTGAAAGGGGTTTCAGGTTGAACATCCTGCAACGTTTCTTATTACGAGAACACGATGTTGTAGGACTGTAGTGCAACTCTCTGAGAGTCACATAAATTAACATAATATAATATCCTATGTAAGCATATTTACTTATTTTATATTTATTTAAAAACAACAACGTTAATGCACACTGCGAACACTGTCTTCGTTTAAACCTGGAAACTAATTTGGAAACTAAGATATCCTGATAAAGACATATAAGCACATCCAATGCATACCGATGATAAAGTGTCAAGTGAAAGAAAGTACACATTACAATATTCAGTTTTTAATCCATCATTAATTTACTGCTTGCTTGGGCGGTGGGGTAGCCTAGTGGTTAAAGCGTTCGCTCGTCACGCCGAAAACCCCAGTTCGATTCCATATATGGTTACAATGTGTGACGCTTATTTCTGGTGTCCTCTGTCGTGATATTGCTTGAATATTGCCAAACGCGGCGTAAAACAAAACTCACTGTCTACTATTTGCTGAGTAAATTGGGAAATCCCGAGTTTCTTGAGACGTCATGTGGACGTCACCCGTTGGGACATACTCACTGACATCATGCATGTAATGCCGCTTATGATAACGGTATCGTAAACCACACAAAAATGCCAGAAACATATATCTGGATGGTGAAAAATACAAAAATGAAAGAATCACATGAATTCATTAAACATTGTTGTTAACTTTCATTTGTCTGTCATGCCAAATTGTTGCTGTCTGACCGTATGGAGATTTTGTGGTCTCAATTCAATAATTTTTGACAAAATTATCTAACAATCTGAGAAGAATCTGAAAGGCATATAGTATCTTCTGTACGAAGTGGGATTATTAGAGGATAGTGCATATTTTCTGTATTCTTCGTGTGTGGAAGTGTGACATTCTGTGTGTGTAAATGTGCGACATTTTCACCTATAGATCAATATACACCATAAAACTACGTGTCAAACAAGTGTTATTTTAATGACCTGAATGGCATATAGCCGAGCCGAGTCATTCGACGTACAGTCCGATATCAGATTAAACCGTTGCTAGGATACAAGACTCCTGCGATTATTGCAGTGTAAGCTTAAATGATTGCAGTTGCCCATTGTGCATGCCGTGTGCATAGGGACACTGCTACAACAACAAATTAAACAAACGGGAAGCTAACACGCATATAGTAGATCAACACGACTAAGCTGTCACTCGACTGCCTCAATCATGTGGTAGAAAATGTGTTATATTACTCGACAGATTTGGGCATGAACTCTTTGAGCACAGCTATCACTGTATACGACAAACCCACACAATAAGAAGACTGACTTTGTTTACTGGCGATTAGGTGCCTTACTCTGACGGTGTGGGTTCGCATCTTGGATGGGACCCAACAATAGTACTAGAATCTGTACTTTACAAAGAAAGTGCAATCCCAAATATGAAATATGTTACATTCAACCATTTTCTAAATGGCATTGTGTATTCATGAGTTAATTTGTCAGGCACAGACTATTATGTGATTGTCGCCCTCACTATACCTCTTCGACATGTCCATTTTGTTGAAATTATAGATATAATATGAGTTATTGCTACACTTCTAGACAGAAAACGTATTTTAATTTAATTTAATTTCAGAAGGATCACATGGGGGTTATGCATAGGAAGGAGTTTGAGTAGCTCCTTCCGACGAAAATATCCAAAATACACGCCGAAAAACGCTTATATTTTCACCTTGGGACGTCCTATATTGTAATATTCTGTTCTCGAAAAATGTGTCATGTAACGATCCACCTAGTCTGCTTCACAGTCCCTTGCTTAGTCTGCCTCACAGTCCCTGCTTTGTCTGCCTCACAGTCCCTGCTTAGTCTGCCTCACAGTCCCTGCTTAGTCTGCTTCACAGTTTCTTGCTTAGTCTGCTTCACAGTCCCTGCTTTGTCTGCCTCCCAGTCCCTGCTTAGTCTGCCTCACAGTCCCTGCTTAGTCTGCCTCACAGTCCCTGCTTAGTCTGCCTCACAGTCCCTGCTTAGTCTGCCTCACAGTCCCTGCTTAGTCTGCCTCACAGTCCCTGCTTTGTCTGCCTCACAGTCCCTGCTTAGTCTGCCTCACAGTCCCTGCTTAGTCTGCTTAACAGTCCCTGCTTAGTCTGCCTCACAGTCCCTGCTTACTCTGCCTCACAGGCCCTGCTTTGTCTGCCTCACAGTCCCTGCTTAGTCTGCCTCACAGTCCCTGCTTACTCTGCCTCACAGTCCCTGCTTTGTCTGCCTCACAGTCCCTGCTTAGTCTGTCTCACAGTCCCTGCTTATTCCGCCACACAGTCCCTGCTTTGTCTGCCTCCCAGTCCCTGCTTAGTATGCCTCACAGTCCCTGCTTAGTCTGCCTCACAGTCCCTGCTTATTGTGCCTCCCCGTTCCTGCTTATTCCGCCTCACAGTCCCTGCTTAGTCTGCCTCCCAGTCAATGCTTAGTCTGCCCCACAGTCCCTGCTTAGTCAGCCTCACATTCAATGCTTAGTCTGCCTCACAGTCCCTGCTTAGTCTGTCTCACAGTCCCTGCCTAGTCTGCCTCACAGTCCCTGCTTAGTCTGCCTCACAGTCAATGCTTAGTCTGCCTCACATTCAATGCTTAGTCTGCCTCACAGTCCCTGCTTAGTCTACCTCACAGTCCCTGCTTATTCCGCCACACAGTCCCTGCTTAGTCTGCCTCCCAGTCAATGCTTAGTCTGCCTCACAGTCAATGCTTAGTCAGCCTCACATTCAATGCTTAGTCTGCCTCACAGTCCCTGCTTAGTCTACCTCACAGTCCCTGCTTATTCCGCCACACAGTCCCTGCTTATTCTGCCTCCCAGTCAATGCTTAGTCTGCCACACAGTCCCTGATTAGTCAGCCTCACAGACAATGCTTAATCTGTCTCACAGTCCCTGCCTAGTCTGCCTCACAGTCCCTGCTTATTCCGTCACACAGTCCCTGCTTATTCCGCCGCATAGTCCCTGCCTTGTCTGCCTCACAGTCAATGGTTAGTCTGCCTCCCAGTCCCTGCTTAGTCTGTCACACAGTCCCTGCTTAGTCAGCCTCACATTCAATGCTTAGTCTGCCTCACAGTCCCTGCTTAGTGTGCCACACAGTCACTGCTTTGTCTGCCTCCCAGTCAATGGCTAGTCTGCCTCCCAGTCCCTGCTTAGTCTGCCTCACAGTCCCTGCTTAGTCTGCCATACAGTCCCTACTTAGTCAGCCTCACAGTCAATGTTTAGTCTGTATCACAGTCCCTGCTTAGTCTACCGCACAGTCCCTGAGCATATTTGTTTCCCCTCGGCCCGGCACTGCCTATACTACAAACGATCTATATAGGTCAAGTCTAGATGTTCTTCTGGTATGATCTCCCATCTTAGTGTGGTTCATTTTCAATTCAAATGGAGTTTAAATGTTTCTCTCAGAGTTGTATATTTTCAGAGACCCTCGTTAGTCTTTGATACACTATACGCAATCCCTACCTTATGCAACTTTGAAAGCATTTCAGTTCGTCACCGTTTTGTGAAGGGAATCTAGAAGCGAGAAAGATCCCATACGTTCACCATGTTGATGAACCATGAAACAACGACTACGTGTATGGCCTTTACAAACAAAGATTCATAATCTTGGTTTCAGGCCTATGATCATTTAATCCCGTCACGTTTACGAGACTTATTTCAGCATAACTAATGGTGTTTCTGGCAAACCATTTACGATGTTATATAAATGTTCCCGCATCCCGGTGTACATGATAACAATCACAGTTACATTCTGCCAGGAACACTTACGGGGAGTTTGGGGTTTTTGTTTGTTGTTCAACTAAGCACTCCATATTTCATCTATGATGGGGGTCTGGAAATAATCAAGTCCGGACAAGACAAGCCACTCATTGACATTTTGAGCATTATTTGGTTGATGACCAGTTCTGATCCGGATCTTCACGTGTCGGACAGTAATGAGTGAGTGAGTGACTTTAGTTTTACGTTGTACATACTAAATAATATTCCAGCTATATGGCGGCGGTCTGTAAATAATCGAGTCTGGACCAGACAATCCAGTGATCAACGTCATGACCATCGATCTACGCAATTGGGATACGATGATATGTGTCAACCAAGTCAGCGAGTCTCACCTCTTACGA